AAGGGAATGACTTATCCAATTCCTAGAGAGACCTCACACTAATAAGTGATGCATCCTGAAAAGGTAACCTTTGTCTGTGGTGTACAAGTTCCCAACAGAAAGATAAGGGGATAATGTTATAAGGCAGGTGATAAATAAGAAGTATCTCCAAACATGGGCACATACCAGAACTTCTTTACATTTCTTTGGTAGCAAGCAAGAATAACCAACTCTGAGAGCCTAAGGAAAAAGGGACCCTATAGAAAGCATCTGTGCAGGGGTGCCTGGGTGGCTCAGTCAGTTAAGCGTCTCGCTTCGGCTCAGGTCATGGTCTCACAGTTCGTGGGTTGGAGCCCCGTGTCAGGCTCTGTGCTGACAGCTAGCTCAGAGTCTGGAGCCTGTCTTCGGATTCTGTATTTCTCTCCCTCCTTCTCTGACCCTCCCCTGCTCATACTGTCTCTCTCTGACTCTCAAAAATAAATAAAACCGGTTTTTAAAAAGCATCTATGCAGATCAGGGACAGAAGAAACAGTGAATCAAGCAGCCCCAAATTCCCCGGAGCAGGTACCACTGGACAGTTACTCCACATCAATAACAAAGTTAACAAAGTTTAATATATATTATATATATATTATATATATATATAAACCCTCCTGTTTCTTCAATCTACATTACTGAGCTCAAGATTCCACATGAGGAGAGAGATTCTAACAATCTGAACATTCAGAAGTGCCTCTACACTGAGGCAGAGGAAGGCCCTGGCTGAGAAAGTCCCCAGAAAAACTTCCTCACCCACTTCCTAAATAGAGGTAGATTTGGGATTTATAAACCAACAGTTGAAGTAGTTTTACTGTTGAGAAGGTGAACTTGTTCCTGTGAATTAAAAGAAAAAAAATGTCCACTACAGTATGAATGGTTATCACTTGTAATGTTATCAAACAGTGTTAATTTCCCTTCAACAATATCTTAGGACAGCAAATGCTATTAGCAAAGGAATGCACCTCAGTCACAGGAAGGAGAAAATGAAATGAAGCCAGAAAATATGATGGATAGTAGATGGGCACTGGACACCCTGCCATGTAAGCCTCTGATATTTCAAATAAAACATATTTAAATTTAAAAAATGAATATCATATACGTAATTGAAATTGTCGATTTGGTAACCTACAGCCATGAGACAATTCTTTTCATACGTAAATATAAAATCACTTAATTACCTTATGAGACGCATTTTTTTCATTATATCCATAAGAACCTTTGTTGTTTGCTCGTTTTCTGAGTTTTCTAATTTAAGTCCCAAATCACTTATTAATCCCTATGCATACTGAATTTAAATATGAAATACATTAAACAAGTATAAATATTTCATACAAATAAAATGAAAATGCAGTTTTGTACTCAGTTTACTGTTATCCTACATAATTAACATGAACCAGAAAAGGAAATAAGAACTAATCATAGGTCAGGGATACATCTAAAAGCCTAGACAATTTATGGACACCATTCTACATACTACCCCAAATACTTTACTTGTATCTCACACAAAATTCAGATAGATTTTCAAATTTAGTTAAGAATATGATATAAATCAATGCTTATCAATCTTTAATGTGAATACAAATCACTGGACAAAATGAAGACCGTGAATGTAGGTCTGAATGTCGGCCAAAGTTCTGTATTTTTCACACAAGTTCCCAGGAAATGCCATCTATGGACTACAATGGCATCAAGGTCTTGGGCAAACTTCCTCTATGAATGATATTCTGTTCTAAATTATAGACTGTATACATATACCCTGCTAGAATGGATGTTCTTAGTCAATGAGACGTAAAGTACATAACATCAAAGATCAATAAAAAACTGAAATAATTGATGGAGAATTCACTACATTATTTTCAGACGTAAGAGAAGCAGTCCCTATACCCTGCTTAATTTACTCAGCCAGGTAATTTTATTAATTGTGGTAATAGTAATTTAGTAATAGTGTAATCCATCAGTGTAAATATGTTTCTATAGTCCTAACACCTAAAAGCCAAAGGCGGCAGAAATGGCAGGATTTCTCCCACTCTTTCCATTAAAATTGCATCCTTTAGGACTTTCACAAATACTTGGTCTGATCCTCTGAAGTATCAGAGATATGGTACACAATGCATTCAAGGAATAATCTAATGATAGAGAACACCAGGGCATTAATGATTAGACCTGCAGTCAGGCTAATTTCCACAACAAAGCCATAACGTAGATTCTATAAGGTTTAAGTAATGGATGGAAATCTGTCAGTGAATTAAGATTCTGATGTCAATCAGCTTAGTAGATAGTAGGGGGAAAATGGAAATCACAATGGAAATCAGTAAATAAGTTCTTATATATGTCTTAGAAATACAGAAAGAAACATAAAAGTAATTAAGATATCTAAGTAATAAGATTAAAAGATAAATTATAAACCAAACAGTATAAAAGTATTATTTGAATTCCATAAACTACATAGTAAACATATAAATAAGGAAGAAGTAGACATTTAAATCAAACTTTCTATCAATGTTTCATTCTTCAAATACAAATGGGAAGTAAAATAACATTAACTTGTTTCTCTTCAATATATAAAACTCCTTAGTTGTAGGCATATTAATAATACACTAGTCATTATGTTACATTTGCTAAGTTTTGAAATGCAAAGGACTCATCAAGAGGCTGCTGCTCTCCACAAGAAACTGAAATTCATTTCTCAGTAATATCACTATTACAAATTTTTAAGAATGTGTAAATCTTTTGAAAATTTTCAAGCATATTTGACTGAAAGCAACTTGAAACATTTTTATATTTATACTCGGTCACATGTCAGCATATCCTTTTGCAACCTGGCAAGATGGGCTATTGCCGAAATAAAAAGAATACATATGAGAACCTATTTGGTAATTCATTCTTTTTAATAAACAAGATTCTTAGGGCACGTGGGTAGCTCAGTCAGTTAAGCATCCAACTTCGGCTCAGGTCACAATCTCGCGGTTCATGGGTTCAAGCCCCGCATCCGGCTCTGTGCTGACAGCTAGCCCAGAGCTTGGAGCCTATTTCTGATTCTGTATCTCCCTCTCTCTCTGACTCTCCCCTGCTCAAGCTGTGTCTCTCCCTCTTTCTCAGAAAAGTAAAACATTCTGAAAAATAAACAAACAAGATTCTTGACCACGGCCAAAACCATTTTTCCAAAGTGAAATCTCAAACAGTGCTAATCGTATCTCAGTTCTGATACAGTGGATCCCTATAATAGTCAACCGTAAAACAACACCCTAATGGAAATGTTGCCTTCCTCTTTTACACAGCCAAGAGAGACCTACCCATGGATAAAGACACAGAAAACAATATACATCACTTTATTAAGCATTTTAAAATGGCATTTCAAGTGCATAAATTATAACTTTCACATGCTTCATCAACATAGGTGTATTTATCGAACAAAGGCATGAAAACAACAGGATCATAATAATAAACTCAGCATTTGAAGGCATGGTCTAATTATGTGCCTGGTGCTGGGCTATGTGTATATATGAATAACTCATTTTAGTCTTCACAACTCTGCAACAATATCGCCCTTATACAGATGGGAAAATAAAGCTAGGAGAGGGTATATAACTTAGGCTAATATTACAAATATAACCGTGGTAGAGCCACAATTTGAATCATCAAAGCATTCTGAATCACCAAGTCTACTTATAGCCTCTCTTTTACATCACATAAAACAGCAGAGACTGAATATTAAACTAAAACGTGGAATTCCTCACTTGGGATGGATATTCTATTATGCTCCATATCTTACAAGTTAACCTTTATAGGGCTCTTGGCTGGCTCATTCAGTAGAGCATGCAACTTTTGACCTTGGGGTGAGTTCAAGCTTCACTGTGGGGTATAGGGATCACTAAAAAATAAAATCTTTTTTAAAAAGAGCTAATCTTAATATAATGATTTAAGAAGCTACATTAAAGAAAACTACTGGGGCACCTGGGTGGCTCAGTCAGTTAAGTGCCCAGCTTCCACTCAGGTCATGATCTCCCGGTACGTGGGTTAGTGCCTCGCATCAGGCTCTGTGCTGACAGCTCAGAGCCTGGGGCCTACTTCAGATTCTGTCTCTGTCTCTCTTTGCCCTTCCGCAGCTTACGCTCTGTCTCTGTCTCTAAAATAAATAAGCGTTAAGAAAAAAATCTTAAAAGAAGAAAACTACTAAACCTTATAAAAGCTTATTAATTCAGAAGAACAGAAGACTGGTGCTCTGAGTAACAGTAACATTTAAAAAACAGTGTTTATTTCAATTATAGGACAGAATACAAATGACAATATGCTGGCAAACTGCTATTAATAAAAGAAATGAGCAGAATTATTGGAACTATGAATTCATGATAATCTATGGTATATTCTGCATATACAGACATTACCACCACCTTAATCATATCTAGAATTGTTGCAGTGTCTCAAATTCTGACTGTTTGGTTCAAAAATAATGGAGGGGAAATACTAGTAATTTTAAGTAAGAATCTACTAAATGGTGAGTGAAACCTGGAAAAGTGCTAAAGAAAATAAAAGGCAATGTCTTTGCATAGTAAACACAATGAGTACAGACTGTTGAACAAAGTTTATTGTACTGCAGGTAAGACAGTCAGCATTCCACGCCTGTAACACAGGAATCTTCACAAATGTGATTCTGGTGCAAAGCATATCACCAACACATGTGACAATATTATCAAAGCAGGTAATTTTCTATTTCTACTATACTGTATTCACACTTTACCTCTCAGTTCCTCAGTCAGGACCTAGGAAAAGGTGAAACCAAGGATGGAGAAAATGTAAAACATCCATATCATTCTCTCACTCAAAAAAAAAAAAAGAAAGAAAGAAAGAAAAGAAATGGTCTGTTCAATGGATGTGGGAAGGGAAAGTGGGCAGTGAGGAGAAAAAAAGAAAAGGTCCTTCAGAATCTCATTCAGAATCTATTCAAATTATTACATATAGTTTGAATGGCTTGTATATCTCACCTTTCTAGTTCACAAACACTAAGAAACAGCAAACAAATGGCTAGTTCACCAAAGCAAGGAATTAAATATGACCCTCTGAAAGGCATCAGAAAGCAGAGTTCACTCAGGGTAGGTACCCATATATCTGCTGCATTTGATGGGATCCTGTTGACACACTCCAATATAACGTTTATTTCACCAAAATATAAAGCATCTATGTATACTGTGTTCTGTCTAAATTGCAAAGATTATAGTATAAGGCTAATTCACTTAGTGCTCAGAACATGCCATGAACATTGTACTAGTCTTTAATTATTTAAAGTTCACAGAATCTCTATAAGGTAGGCACATTCAACCTCATAGATTTCAAAAACTGCCTTGGGAAGGGTTAAGAAGATGTTCAAGATCACATAGCTACCAAGTGGCAGAACAAATCTAGGTCTGTCTGAATCAAAGATCCATACTCTAGTATAAACTACCATCCTATGTTCATTGTGGTGATCCTCTGTCATCAAAAAGTAAATCATCTTTAGCCACCTGTTTAAAGGGTAAAGTAATATTTTTACATAGATTCCCACTAAAAAATCTATTGTTAAAGACAAGCTTCTATTTATAATTAGTCCTAAAAATCGTAGATAACCATCTTTGTATTACAATTTTTACTAGGAATTAGAAATGTGACGTGAGTAAACATTTTCTTTTTAAGAATGTCATTCACCTAATTAAATACAGTAAAAACAGTCTTTGGACTTGTAATTAATTTGCTAATCTGTGCAAAGCCTAGAATCAATAGCTAGCTAACAGCTAATCAAATGAGTCAGTGAAGGCAAAAAAGATTCATATTTATATTTGATAATTGAAGATAATATAGATGATAATACAAATTTGTACAACTCAAAATGATGGCAATGTGCCTAGAATCATGCCTCATAATACATATTTGGGGATTTGAGTCATGTCATTTTTTGTTTACTTTTTCTCTCCAAACTGGACCTATCTCAGCATAAGCACAATTCTAATACCTGTCCTCAATGGAAATTTCCATGACAAGTCTAAAAGGCATAGGCAATATGAATTATCAAGGTTTCTATTAGGACAATTGTGCAAGGTACAAATTTTGACACACAAAACTTCCACTCAAAGGTGAGGAGGATATTTTACTACGGTATCAATAAATGAGACTTCTATATGCATTTTTTAAAACCTCAAGATCATTATGGAATCAGCATGGTTTCTGCTGTCCTAACCCTCATTTTCTCATGAACCAAACTCCCTTCCCAGATATTCACCACATTTATTTAGTTAATAGTGATAAATACATATTTTAAGTGCTATGAGCTGAAATTGACCCTGTCCAAATGTGGAAAATATTTTCTCTTTCCAAACCATGAAAACTGCTGACTCTGGCTTTAAATAAGCTAGAAAAAGCAAAACCTTGTCTAAAAAAGAAATAAACTCACAGACAATTCTTGCTTTCTCAATATTTCCTAATTATTTTCATGGACTTGTTTGCTTTAGTTATCATAAACTCCTGGTAATATCATTAATGCTCCATGAACATGTATTTTCTGAGCCTAATTTTATTTTCGGTATCTAACATATTTTAGGCATGAGATATCAAAATATGAATCAATTAAAATCTGTTTATTGGAAGCTTACTAGGATTTAGGCACTGAGCTAAAAGTACTTTGCAAGTAGTATTCCACATAATCTTCATAAAACTCCTGTGCCTTAAGGTACTATCCAATTTTTAAGATGTGTCCATCAATAAACTGATTTTAACTTATTATGTCCTTTATCTGAACATTACAAAATGCATATCATCCCATTACACAGCTGATGAAACTGAAACCTAGAAAAGGTAGATAACTTGCTATGACACACAATTACACAGACAGTACAAAATGGATTTAGGACTGGGGCTCCTGGGTGGCTCAGTGAGTCAGGCATCTGACCCTTGATTTCAGCTCAAGTCCTGACCTAACAGTTCTGAGTTTGAGCCCCACCTCGGGCTCTTGCACTGCCAGCTAAGGAGACTGCTTGGGCTTCTCTTTCTCCCTGTCTTTCTGCCTATCCCCTGCTCGCTCACTCTCACTCTCTCTTTCTCTCTCCTGCTATCTCTCTCTAAAATAAATAAACATTTTTCACAAAATGGATTTAGGACTGGTAAGAAATATGACTCCAAAGTTCTAGCCCTTATTCAATGTCTCAAGGAACTCTCATGGTACTGAGTGACATGGAAAATAACATTACAATGTAATAGGTAGGACAATGAATTTGTACCAATTTCCCTGGAACTTGACTGGTTTTAACACTGAATTTTCATCATCCTAGGACCCTTCAGTCTTGGGAAAACCAGGAGGAGTGCTTACTTCCATGTTAGGTGTCTTATCAATGGCACAGAAAAAAAAAAAATACAATAGGTCTCTGTAGAGAAAAGGGAATCATTTTTTGTGCCTTAATAGTATTGAAAGAGGCTAAACAGAATGACAATTGAGTTGATCATTTTGCAAACTGTAATAAAATCTGTGGAGAAAGATGGCAAGAGTAGATTAGACAAAGGCACTGTAAACAAAAGCATGTAAAAAAAAGTCACTTGGCAGGCTGTAGGGCAAGCACCTAGACTGCAGACCTGAAAAAGGGAAACAGGGAAGTGCAAATGGAAAGGAAAACATCATCTAGGAGGGAACAGAGTAAATCTTATAAAAGGAAATTAAGCATAAGGATGTGGTTTTAACTTCCACTTCCCTTCACAGCTCTACAGAGATAGACTTTAAAGAAATGAGAGCTTTCACTTTATGATTTAGCAATGAATACATGTGCCTTGGTAGGGGGATGCCAAGTGACTTATTACAAGCAGCAAAAGATCTCACTTTTCTATGGTCATTCTCACTGTGCTCCATGCCCTCTCTGGCAACAATTACTGTGGATGGGGAGAACTAATGCTCTTAAGTGGAAGGGCATGTTTCAATCCTTAAGTAGGATGGCTCAGTCAGTTAAGCATCCAACCTTGGCTCAGCTCATGATCTCATGGCTCATGAGATCAAACCCTGCGTTGGACTCTGAACTGTCAGATTCTATCTCTCCACCCCTCTCTGCCTCTCTCTCTCAAAACAAATAAACTTTTTAAAAAATGAAGAAAAGGAAAAGATACTTATCAGGCAAATAACACTTGCGCGCGCGCATGCGCGCACACACACACACACACACACACTCCTTTCTCCATACCTAGAGAGAGAGAAATAAAGAATTGGCCAGTAATCTCACATTTATTTATTATAAATGTGTTACTTACCATTTATTGAAAATCTGCTAGTTATTCACCATATCTCTTTCTGGGAATTCAGTGTGACTCCATTTCTTAGCTTCCCTTACAGAAAGGAATGGTTGAGTAAAAAAGTTCTGCTCAATGAAGTGTAGGCAAAAGCCATGATAACCATTCTCAGTATCGGCGTATAAAAACATCCTGTGGAACTTGTCAGGACATTTCTCTCCTCACTCCTTCCCTGAACAAGGAGAACCTCAGGGGACTTAGGAGGACAAATACAGGAGAAGAAAAGAAACTTGATTCCCTGAATGATCCCATGGAAAGCCATTCTATTGGGAACTTGGTGGGAGTACTGAACTACACCACATGAGCAAGAAGTAGAAAGTATTTTAAGTCACTGAAAATTTATGGTTTACTTGTTAGAGCAGCTAGAGCTAGCTTTTCACTAGGCCCTGTGGGACTTCACTCCTTGGGAGGCTGAAAACATTAAGCAAGTTTAAACCTCTCTGTCCTTCTACTCCATTAAATCATAAAAAGGAACTTAACACACACAGACATATATATAGATAAATAGATGGATAAGATAGATAGATAGAGATATATGCAGATATAGATATATAGCATGGGTGTGAAGAAGTTTGGATGCAAGGTAAACTTAGAAAAAGAATAAAGCAGGGGCGCCTGGGTGGCTTAGTCGGTTAAGCGTCCGACTTTTGCTTAGGTCATGATCTTGCGGTTCGTGGGTTCGAGCCCCGCGTTGGGCTCTGTGCTGACTGCCAGCTCAGAGCCTGGAGCCTGTTTCAGTCTGTGACTCCCTCTCTCTCTGACCCTCCCCTGCTCACGCTGTCTCTCTCTCTCTCTCTCTCTCTCTCTCTCTCCTAGAAATAAAACATTAAAAATTAAAAAAAAAAAAAAGAAAAAGAATAAAGCATATTACTTAGAACAAAAGGTTCAGGGAAAATGAGGAGGAAATTAACAGGTTCTTTTGAGAAAGAAGTGACTTAGAAGCATCCAAGTTTATCTGCTCACCTACATGATGAGAACACATGTCATTAAGTGTCATTAATTCATTGGGAAGATTCCACAAATATGTACTGAACAAGAAGGGGAAAATGACTTTATAATATTGGAAAGTGAATTATCTTGGCAAAAAGTACCTCTCAGTATCAATCACCTCACATTTCTATTGCAGCTACTTGGACACAAAACTGTAAGAGGTATTTTTGCAAAGGACAAATACACAGGAAAGGTGAGAAGAGGCAGAGTCTCTAATATAATTGAGACAAGATAACAGGATGAGAACAAGAGGGATCATTTCCTTTTACAGGATGCTAGGATTACAGGTAGAGGTCCCTTTAGTCACTCTGTAAATACTCAGTAAGTTTTGCAAAGCTGAGAAAACAAAGGAAGAATTTCTTTCTCGGGAGCTAGGGATGTTGATGAGGAACAATGCTTTTGATCAAAAGGAAGATGAGGGGAGAATATTTTACCTGTGAATTTGCCTGAAAGAGTATTTGCTTAAGCTGTTAAGAGAAATTTATCTTTACATTCTGCAGCATAAAAATGGTAGCCAAGGATTCCCACAATGAAAGTTAAAGAAAACGGTTATAATTCATGGCATAGACTCTGAAAATTTATCATAAATGAAAAAGCACTGTCATAGAGAGTTTTATTTTAAACATGTGATCCCAGTAGGTATTCAAGATAAACCTATATTGTATCTAATTACACTTCATTATATTTTAGAGATCATCTTTTTTTCTTCTTTAGGATTTTTTAATTCCCCTACAGCTTTTTTATATAAACAAATAGAAACAGTAGTCCAATGGCTACAATAAGAAAAGTATTAAGGCAAGAATAAAAAAGTAGTATAATAAAGCTGTTTAGAAAATCAACTCTAGAGCCAAAGGGCTGGTTCAATCCCAGCTCTGCCACTTACTGGCTATGTCAAGCAAATGACTTAATTTCTCCAAACCAAGTTTTATTTATATGACAGAAACAATAATGATACCTATCTAGCAGGGCAAAGTGCTTAGAAAAATATCTCAAAAACTGTAAGTACTACACACGTTCCAACTGCTTCTATTATCTTTCTCCTTATAACTGTCTTGGTTTTTCTGCCATGAAAACCAGGGTTGGAAGGAAAGGGAAGTAACATTTACTGAACATGGAGGGAATGTCACATATAGTAATAGAGAGTCAGAAGTGCTGGCTGTTCCCCCAACAAGGTCTTCTCCCTCCTGGAAACACAATTGTACTACATTCCCCAGCCTCCCTTATAGAAAGATCCACCCACACACAACTGAGTTCTGCCGAACGGAATTCATTCCGTTATAGATAAGCAAAAGTTATATGGAGATTTGCACGTTTGAGGAATTAACATTCTCCAAGTCTTTCTCCTTCCAATGCCTTGATACATGCAGAGAGGCATGGTGACCCTGCTGAAGATGACAGAAGTCTTGGAGGAATGCAGCCAGGATCATCCATTTGGGGACTTACCATGACTGACAACATGTCATATTTGAGGAAATATACTTTTCAGATTCATTTGTTATAGCTATTAACCCAACCTAATACAGCTAAGCTCCATACCTACACTCTCATGTTTAATTCCTACCATGAAGCCTTGAAATAAATGTTATCCAATTTTATAGCTAAGGAAACTAAGACTCAATTAAGTTATGGAACTATCTTGAATGTATTAAGTGGTAGGACCACATCCAGGTTAATCTGCTCCAAGGTTTTTTTGATCCTTCCACCCTCCACACAATACTGCAACATGGAAAATGTCTTTCTTTTCCTCACTCTACTTCTTGATTTCCTGACTTTTTAACCACTGAAACTTTAGTCATTAAATTTAAACTTCCTTATTTTTCCATCTATATTTCCAGTTTGGAAGATCCAGGATGACTCCTCTATCACATTCATCTCTTCGGCCTCATTCCATCCACATATGTGCTCGTGACCAGGAAACAATGCTCTTAACTCATCTGTTACAGGAGACAGGGATTTCTAGCAGTTTTCCAAGTGGATACTGTAGCAGAGATGGTGAATGGCAAAGCCAGAGAGAAGAAAAGAAAGGTAAAAACTCCCAAACCATCAGTGATTTCCAAAGTGGGATCTGCAAGGCATTTCACTGGATACATAAAAATATTAAAACTTCAGCCTCATAATTTTTGCCTTACTTATCATTTAGCTTTTTTATGTACATATTTTATAACATAAATATTATATCAACATAACAGAATATGTGTATAACTTATAAATAAATTTTAGTGACTATGGTCAAATCTTCTTCTGATAGTATATAATAAAAAATAAAGACCAGTAAGCCTAGGTAGTAAATCTGGTCTCCCTCCTCAGACTTAAGATACTGTGTTGTAGAAAATGAAAACAAAACTTTCCACATCTGTGCATACAGACATCTCCCTGATTACCAAATGAAATAAACTAATTAAATTAAAATCATATAAAACCATGTTTTCACACAAGATTAAATTTTTTAAATAAAAAAGCAAGATTAAAACTAATGTACATTATGTCAAGGTCTTTGAATATAATAAAGAAGAATCCAACGAGTTAAAACCATTATCAAAGTTGGCAGATTTTGGAACGATAAAGGAGTTTTCTGCTGAAAAGTATAATTATTCAGGTTACCTTTATTTTTAAGA